GGGGGGGGGGGGGGGGGGGGGGGGTGTTCGAGAGTGTGCTTTGGGTGAGAAGGTTAAACACGAAGGATATGAACCAATAGTTTCTTGTTTAAGTTTTTCTTAAAGTACTTTATTGCAACCTTAGTTCATTAAAAAAATGTTGCCATGAGGTACACGCTCAATAAGGATGGGTACACTCTTCTCATAATTTTGTAATTGTCAATTCTACTGGCTGATGGACAATGATGAAAAGAATATCAAGATTCAAGGAGTAACTAATTTATTTGGTTTAAGAACTTAAGAACAATTAGGGTTACATATATATATTTTTTTGGCAGAATCTAATCTTTTTTCAATAGCAATTGGCCTTGGTGTCTTAGCTCTGCTACTTGACTGCCTAATTGACATTTGGTGTGTTTTACTTGATAGGAGTTTATTTGAGCAACTCTTTTTTCTTTTTTACTTGGAACATCTCAGTAGATAGGCTACTCCTGTTTGGAAATGTTTTCTGGGCATGTCAATCCTTCAAGATTGATGCTTGTTTGGAAATAGCATTTTCTTTTAATTTCAGTCATTGAACATAACTCTGACATTGACCTATACTGCCTAAAAAAAACAAAATCTCCATTGTTTCAATGATTCCAGGGTGGGACATCAATGAAATTTTAGAATCTGTTTCCCTTTAAAAGAGAGAGATACATGGATCATATGTATGATTCTTTGCGTTTTTAACCCTCAGGGATTTCAACTCTTAGAGATCTTAAACCTTGAAGACTAAAATACCATGAGGAAGTGCTGTTTTCTTTTTCTGGTTAGAAGCCGAGGAATATATGTTAATATAGACAAAAAGGAAGACATCTTAAGGGCAAGGGGTAGAGAGAACCCCTCCCCAAATAAAAGAATCAACACAAAAAAGCCTTCCAATTTCTATTAGTCAAAGCAAGGTTATAGGTGCACTGAAAATCTGTGACTGGAACTCCACCAAGAAGCCATGTGTTGTATAGACAAAAGAATCTTCCAAGCTCCTCCTATCTTCAACGTTTTTAAGATTTAGTTCCTTCCATGTTGTCCATAAAGTAGCTTTAACGATGCAGCCACATAGGATCTCTGCTTTTGCCCTAAAACAAGTTCCCAACAAAGCCTCAAGTAACTAATGTGTATGGATGCATATTTTTAAAAGAGAGTTGATAATTATTTTCCTTTCTTGATAGTTCAATTGGAGAGCCTCTTGATGTTCTCTATGACTTTTTAGTGCAGACTCCTTACACTCCACTGTGTCTTGATTTTTTAAAAAATATAATAATTTATTGTCTAAAAGAAAATTGTAACACAGACTTAATTCACTCTCTCCACAGCCTAGTTTAAAAATGTAGCTCGTGGTTATAAAAAAGGTTTTAGGTGTTAGGTCTAACCTGGTCGTTTATGTAAGAAGCCCCTTGTTTGTTTCAAATACATGTAAATCAGGCCAAAAAATTTGTTGTCAAACTTGGAATATATCTGATTAGGTATGGATGAAAATCATCAATATCGCAACAACTACCGTATGCTTCAGTTTTATTTCCTTGGAAACTACCTATTGGATAATGGATACATCATTTAAGGCTGGTAAATGAGTCTATCTAGTAGATTCATGAATCAAATATATTCTTAGTGGATCTTCTAATTAGAGTTCTTATCTTCAGCTTTAAGTAGTATTTTCCTTAGTTGCTTAAGCTTGAGTCTTGTATCTTATCATATCAAAAATAGAATCTCGAGTAATTGAGAAAATAATATTTAGTTTTTCTTTAATGTTATGCATGCATGTTAGTGAGACACATTCATGTATTAGGTTTCTTGCTAAATAGCTCTAGAAACTGGAATTGTTAGTTCCTGACAATTTTTGTTTTCAGGCCAAACCTTGTAGGAATTTATGGGTCGGCGGTATTAGTCCAGCTGTTTCAAGGGAACAACTTGAAGAAGAATTTTCCAAATTTGGTAAAATTGATGAATTTAAGTTTTTGCGAGATCGGAATACTGCATTTATTGAGTATGTTCGGTTAGAAGATGCATCACAAGCTTTGAGAATCATGAACGGGAAACGCATTGGTGGAGACCAGATTCGAGTTGATTTTCTTCGATCACAGCCGATGAGAAGAGTAAGCTTGTTCAGAACTTAATGAGCATCAATGTGTTGTATTGATATGTTTGCACCATTTAAAAACTAGGGCAGTTACTTTCTTTATGTATTGACTTTACCCTTGATTTTTACTGGATTGGATTTTCTTGTCCTTGGATGTTGTTCTGAGCTATAATATTATATTATTTTCTGATCTCTCTTCTTGCTGAAAAAATTGAATTGAAGATGGGAAAAAATTGTGTTTAGTGCTCGTTCTAGATTGCTGCGCATATGTTCTTTCTCTTTCCATAGCATATGTAATATTTGGATTCCTTCATACTTGAACATTCTGCAATGCATATCCTTAATTTAAGATTTCCTTTATGGACAACTTTTGTATTAATTTTGAAATTAGTTTATGTGACCTCTTTTCTCTCTATAGCTAATATAATTAACCTAAATCTTTTTAGGACCAGTGGCCCGACTCCCGAGATGGGCATGGGCAGCTTCAGGGTAGAAATGTGGGGATGGCTGATTTCCAATCTGGTTATAAAAGACCTCTGGTGAGTCTTCTGGACCTGTGACCTTTTGTAATCGTCAATGTTTTACCATTATATATAATGGTTAATACTTTACAAATACAAATATGTAAAAGCTTTTGCAGACCTGTGCACATTGTTGATGTTATAGTAACTACAACCATACCTGGGTCATGGAGGTATTTTCTAAGGTTTATACTTAGGATATGATAAAAGACTAATTCACCATTTTCCATAGGACAATCTTCTTCTCACTTTATGAATGACAGTTAGTTTCTTGTTTATTTTATATCATAGAAATTTAATCGTTGGATAATTATTGCAGCATACTCAATCTTCAGAACTACGTAGAGATGGACCTCCCAGCAAGGTTTTGTGGATTGGTTACCCTCCATCTGTTCAAATTGATGAACAAATGCTCCACAATGCGATGATTTTATTTGGTGAAATAGAGAGAATTACGAGTTTCCATTCTAGGCATTTTGCATTTGTAGAATTTAGAAGTGTTGATGAAGCGCGGCGTGCTAAGGAGGGTCTACAAGGACGGCTTTTTAATGATCCTCGGATTACTATTATGTTTTCAAACAGTGATCCGGCACCTGTAAAAGAGCACCCTGGCTTTTATCCTGGTGGTAAAGAGACTAGGCCTGAAATGTTCTTCAATGAGCATCAAATCCGTCCTCCACAAATGGACATGTTAGGACATCCTCACCCAATGGTGCAAAATAAGTTCCCTGGTCCATTGCCAGCTAATGGCATTCTTGGACCAAATACAGCAGTAAGACCACCACCCTTTGGTCCTCCACAGGGTATCTCAGGCCCTCCTGAGTTTAATGACTTCACGACATCGCATGGTTTCCATGATGCAAATTCAAAAAATGTGTTGGGTCCAAATTGGAGAAGGCCATCTCCTCCTGCACCTGGGATACTTTCTTCTCCAGCTACTGGTATTCGTCCACCTCCACCTGTGAGGTCCACTCCAAATTCGTGGGATGTTTTGGATGTAAACCAATTCCAAAGGGATTCTAAACGATCAAGGATAGATGGTCCATCATCCTTAGACGATGCTTCTTTTCCTCCAAGAAAAATGGATAACCGGGGCATGGGTTTTGATCAGCAATATGGGGTTGGTCCATTAAGTGATGGAGGATCTTCTGTTTCATATACCAATGCTCCTGTGAAGACTCATGCTATCCCTATAGGTGCAAGGGCACCAGTTAGTGGCCAGAGCCATGGTGACAATGATTTTATATGGCGTGGAATAATTGCCAAGGGTGGAACGCCTGTTTGTCATGCTCGTTGTGTCCCCATAGGCGAAGGAATAGGAAGTGATCTGTAAGTATCAGTTTTATTTTTGATATTTTTCAAATAACATGTTTGTATTAATATAATTTGTTTAGCTTCCCACTTCCCATGGGATGCCATGGAGTTGTATGGAAAAAACTGCACCTAATTAATTCAAATGGTATCTAGGAATAAAATGTTTTGGTTCACTCTGTGTGTGTATATTTTTGAATGCTTGTTTTTCTGCTGTTCTTCGGGGTATTTGGTGGGAAAAGAATATAGTAATTTTAGGGTTTGGGAGAAATTTTCTGATGAGACGTGGTCTCTTGTCAGGCTTAATGCATCTACTTGGGCCTCAGTTTCCAAGAATTTCTATAATTTCTACTTGCTTCCTAAAGCATAGAGATTATTCTGGTACCCTGCTTAAAGCATCACCTCGGATCTTTAAAGCTAAAGGGAAACACCGTAGTCTTTGTTTCTTTAGAATTTAAGTCAAGAATTTTGACAACAATTGTTAAATGAATTGGCAGATATTTGCTTCATATTTTTGTTATGAACTGAACTTAGTTTGAAATGCCAGTCTAGATGTGAACTTGAAGGTTCCAACTAGAGATCTAGTTGGGTGGAGATGATGATGTATGGAATCTTATATTCTTACTATTCATCTATTTTAATGTTTCCGTTTACTATTTTGCAGTCCTGAAGCAGTCAATTGTTCAGCAAGAACTGGGCTGGATCAGCTTGCTAAACATTATGCTGAAGCCACTGGATTTGACATTGTCTTTTTCTTGCCAGACAGCGAGGATGACTTTGCATCCTATACAGAATTCCTGCGTTACCTTGGTGCAAAAAACCGTGCAGGTGTTGCTAAGTTTGATGATGGAACTACAATGTTTTTGGTTCCTCCTTCAGAGTTTTTGAGAAAAGTCTTGAAAGTTGCGGGCCCAGAACGGCTTTATGGTCTCATTCTCAAATTTCCCCAGGTTCCTCTTAGTGAATCGACTCACCAGCAGTCCTATCTACCCATTCCTACATCTGACTATGGTGAGAGACAGCAAGTCTTGTCTTCACGAGCTGAATACGGGTCAGTGCCTTCAAAGCAGGAGCAACTTCTTCCAATGGATTATAATAGGGTTCTGCATGAGGAAACCAAGGAACCCCCGAAACCCCTTCTACCTGCAAGTGAGCCACCATCTGTTCAGTCCTTGCCTCACGAGTATGTTACTAACAATAATACGGCTGCAGTCTCACAAGCTGGGTTATCATTAACACCAGAGCTTATTGCCACCTTAGTTTCTTTACTGCCTGGCAAGACACAGTCGTCCAGTTTAGAAAGTGCCAAGCAACCAGCCATCTCACCACAGCCTCCAATGCCTACTGTTGATTCTAATAAAGGGACTACATCTGAGGGATGGATTGGTCATCAATCTTCTGAGCTAACCGGTCAGCCATTTCAGCAAATGGAAAATCATTTTAATTCTCAGGGACAAAGTCTTTCTCAATTTCAGCCTTATCCACCTCTCCCGCAAACACCAAACCAGCATGCACCACAGATCATGGGAGCAACCCAAATTCAAGATGCTGCTGTCGGTCTGCCACAGCAGCAGCATGTACCTATTCCTTACAGGCCTTTGTCTACTTATTCTGCCCCTCCTGAGAATGCACAAGCTTCTGGTTTGCCCTTTGTCAATCCTCAGTATCAGCACGATGTTTCTCAAATTAACCAGAGAGGTTATGGGTCAGTCAATGAAGTTGATACTTCTGGGTATGGTGCACCAGTTGTGCAGCAATCAACGAACACTGCGACCTTATCTAATCAAGGTCAGGGTTCTACATCACAGCCACAACCTGTTACCCATTTAGCATCTGATAGGGGGAACCCTGAGCTTCCTTATCAGATGGAGCATCTCCAATCTGCAAACCTTGGCGCTGGCAATGGGACCAGTGATGTTGAGGCTGGTAAGGACCAGAGATATCGATCTACGCTTCAATTTGCCGCAAATTTACTCCTTCAGATCCAGCAGCAGCAGCAGCAGCCACAGCAAGCAGGCTGGGGTTCAGGAAATCAATAATGAGCAGCTCTTCATCTAGGTAATCCCCTGTACTTGACTTTTAATCTTCTTGGTGGCCAAGATCTTTCAGTGGTTGCATATGATATTTGCATATAATATCTGATTGGTTTGTGATTTTCTATTTAAATGCAAGTTCCTGTAGTTGGCTGAATAGAATATGTTCTACTTCTTATGACATAGGGTTCGTTTAGCTTCTTTTCTTATGGTTGGTTGGTGATATATTATGCAGTACTTCAACTTTGCGATTCTGGTTAAGTTGTTGCACAAGTTTTTATGATGTCAATTGGGTGCTATTGCGGTCATTTTGCTGCATAATCTAGTTAGCTTCTTTGAGGTTCTTTCTTCCTAGGTATTTGGTTAGGAATTTTTGGGGTATCTAGCTTCTCTCTCTTCTTTTTGCTTTTCAATACAGATGATGACTTAGGTGTAGTTAAGTAGGCGATGGGGAGTGATAACAAGGCCCTCCAAGTTCTCCATCTAGATACAAGAAATAGCCAAGCCTTGAATTTGGTCAAATTCCAAGATGTACAAGTATCTACCACCTAGGGAATTGACTTTTTTAACCAGAAACTTTTTTCATTCAGCAAGTTGGGAGATTGATTGATTGGTGGTTGATTGTTGAACTAAAATCTAGTCAAGATTTCAAGAACTGGTTTTAGGAAGTTGTAAATAAACATGAGTTGTAACTAAAAACACTTGGTTTTTCTAAAAGCAGAGAAATGACATAGAAGGCGGTTAAATTAAATGAGCTGGGTTGGTTGAGTTGAATCAGATGTTTATGGATTGATCTGGTGGCAGTGGCATAGTCTTTACCTAAAGTGATAATTTTGAGTTTGGGAGACGGTAGTTATATATATATTATGTTTCCATTGATAGAAGACTCTTAATTGTGCATATCATGAACCGTTCCTATCAGAACCAAGTCCTACTATTCTTAGAGATATATATTATTAATCTTCTGCTGAATGCATCTTGATTGGTATCACACATTGAAACTGGTGGCAGTGGCATATTCTTTACATTCAGTGATAATTTGAGTTTGGGAGACGGTAGCACTTTTTCTTTCATTATTTGTGCTTAATTCTTTAATCTCTGTAAAACTATGTGTAAGCAGGAATTTGTTTTGAGGGTAGTAAAATGTTTAGTCTTGTATAATACTTTTAATGTTTAGCTGACATTCTTTTCCCTTACCTTAATGAACTATGACCAAAAATGCGTACAAATGAAACATAAAGTACTTAATACCAATTTTGCAAATGAAACATAAAGTACACCATACCGGCTACATGTTATCGTATATCTTAATCAAGGAGCTCAATGAATACAGCTATGAACCCTTAAAGTACGTTTCTGTGAGAAGTTAAAAGCTGCAATATTCATTACACCCTTGAGACCATTACATGTTGGCCGAGGGGTCATAAAGAAATAAGCTCATAGTCTCTTTGTGATCATGAGTACAAACCATGGTGGCTTCTATGAATACAGCTATGAACCCTTAAAGTACGTTTCTGTGAGAAGTTAAAAGCTGCAATATTCATTACACCCTTGAGACCATTACATGTTGGCCGAGGGGTCATAAAGAAATAAGCTCATAGTCTCTTTGTGATCATGAGTACAAACCATGGTGGCTTCTATGAATACAGCTATGAACCCTTAAAGTACGTTTCTGTGAGAAGTTAAAAGCTGCAATATTCATTACACCCTTGAGACCATTACATGTTGGCCGAGGGGTCATAAAGAAATAAGCTCATAGTCTCTTTGTGATCATGAGTACAAACCATGGTGGCTTCTATGAATACAGCTATGAACCCTTAAAGTACGTTTCTGTGAGAAGTTAAAAGCTGCAATATTCATTACACCCTTGAGACCATTACATGTTGGCCGAGGGGTCATAAAGAAATAAGCTCATAGTCTCTTTGTGATCGTGAGTACAAACCATGGTGGCTTCTATTTTGGATGTTAAATATTGAGTTTCTTGATACTAAATATTATAGGATGAAAATGAAATGAAGGTTAATTGAAGGGCACGGAAGCTCCTTTGTATTCATTCACAGTAAGAATACATATAATGCATATTCGCATGTTTATATTAATCGCTCTTAGATTGAATCAACTCGACCAGGCTTCAACCGTTATGATCTCGTGTACACTCTTTAACCTTGAGAGCCTACCTTTGTAAACCAACTCGACCAGGCTTCAACTGATATGATCTCATGTACAATTTTTAAGCTTGAGAGCCTACCTTCGTAAACCAACCTCCACTACTCTATAACCTAGAAGGTAACAAGGCTACCTTTTACCATAATTTACGAGTAACGGAACTGATTGCTCATCAAAATTCAAATTTTGGACTCCTAGTTTGTGGGTTTTTTCGTGTAAAGCTTAAGATCTTCTGCTCGGTTTGCAGTTAGCTAGTTTTGACAATGCTATCTCGTTAGTTTTGATGTTGCTATCTTGTTGTTCTGGCTTTTTGAATAAATCAATTGTTGGTAGCTAGCATGTACAATAGAGTTAATAGGATAAAAAAGACTGTCAATAAAAATTGTATTAGTTGGTCTGCAATTTTCGTTTGCGAATTGTTGATTGTATTGTGCAGGGGCCAACAGTTTTCATCGTTTAGTATGAGGTAAGGTACGTATATTAATTGGTAGTTGCATAGGAAATGAATTATGAAGGATTTCGTTGCGCCTGTCGTATTAGCTTTTTTGGATAAACTCTGTTTTGCTTCGACTAGATTTGATCCGGTCTAGATGGAGGTAAAAGAAAAATCAAAAAGGAAACGAGGAAAACACTGTTTAGAATAGTCTCTATCGTACCTCGATGTGTCCAGGCACACGTTAAATGTGTCTGATCGTTACATACACTTGAAAATTTTGTATATGCTCGAATGTCGGAGAAAGACGATGAGTAATGAAAGAGATTTGTGCTGGAAATAGAAAAATATATTGGCTTTATCCATTTGAAAAATAACTACATCACAAATATGGAGTGGAGTTCAAACTTACTCGAACCGGGTACCGTTGTATTCGAGCTAAAGATGAGTGATTTAAACTGGGTTAGTCTGTGCTGTTGAAACCCAGAAAAACACAGCAATTCCCGATGTTTGTATGGATCGTTTGTGTGGTTTTGGCTATCAATAATTGATTAAATTGTGACATTATTTTGGTATCAAAGTTGAACCCTTATTGTTTTTGAACTGAAATGAAGCGAAAATGCGTGTAGGTAAAGAAAGGTGAAAGGAAAGGAAAGGAAAGGAAGATATGCGTTAAATTATGGGTTTTGTTTGAGCAGAAGAAGCAGGTGGTGGATGGGGACCCTTCGTTTTCTCCCTTCAAGCGAATTTGAGTTTTGTGCAATCCTTTGTACCATAGCTTCAACCCCCAACATTTCAACCCCTCTTTTAACGCTGCTTTGTTCTATCACTTTATTTCATATTGAAGCTCATCAATGAGATTACCATTTTGATCACTGAAAAACAGAAATATATCGGTAGCGTTCGTTTGTTCGTTCAGGTTATCCCCTTTTTGTATCTCTATGAAATACGAGCTCGTTCGAAACTTGCAAACGATTGTCTTTGCTTTCTCTATTCATTTGTACGTTTGAGTATACATTTTGTATATGAATCCTTTTAGAATGTATGAGTTTTTGGTCAATGTTCGTTAAGTTAATGTTTAGCCTACAACTTTCGTACGTATTTCACACCTAAAGGTTTTAATTTTGTCATCTCCTTCGACGGTTTCATAACTAGGATGAAAGTATTTTAGTAACTATGTGTGGAGGGTGGGAGACGAGGGATAAAATATAAGCTAAGTGAGGTGTCGGTGGTTCGGTTAGGATCAATTTTACGTTGAAATTGATTGACATTGACTTGTTGAACATGAAAGCATCTTGAGATAAAAAAATATCATTGATTTCAAATATTAAGTATGCAAATGACTGCCAAACATTCGTATACGTTCGCATAAATATGGCACGTATGATTACTTTGTCAAAACAATCACGAAAAGTATTATTATTATTAGTATAATTATATTCAGAAGAAAAAAATTGGGTTGTACAGAAAGGCTTAGAAAGGTAGGTTCGTTAGATAGCGGAACTCAAATTTGGATTGTAATGATTTGGTTGAACACCCTCCAAAAGGGTTGTATGGAAATTGTATGGAAATTGCTGGCGTGGAGAGTTGCAAAAGAAATTCACATTGATTGCAAGAATAGTTGTTGTTCCCCGTCGTACAAAATTGATGATGCTGTTCATCAATAATTTTTTAGGCCTCAAAATTCCTCAGCCACAAACCAATCCACCTCCACAGCCACACAAATGGCGTCCACCCTTTTCCGCCTCGTTGTCTCTTCCACCTTTCTTACTTTCCATGTCCAAAAATCTAAACCCTTATCGTCTCACCCACCATTTACTCCCCCTTCTCTTCTACCTTTTTCTCCACTAACAATCGGTTTCCGTTCTTCTTCTGTTCGATCTTTTCCGGTCGGAGTTGCTGTTTTTCTCTCAAAATTTCATGGATTTGATGGTCTCGGAGTAGAAAAAAGGGCGGAGGTGGAATTTCCGGGAATCAGTTGACGATCGTAGTGGTAACCTAGAGGGATAAGATGAAAATTCAGTGCGATGTTTGTGAGAAAGCTCCTGCTACTTTGATTTGTTGTGCGGATGAAGCGGCGCTTTGTGCGAAATGCGATGTTGAAGTTCATGCTGCTAATAAGCTTGCGAGCAAACACCAGAGGCTTCTTCTTCAGTGCCTCTCTACTAAGCTTCCCAAATGCGATATATGCCAAGTAATTGCGATCTCTGTTGCTTCACTTTGGTTTCTTGCTTGTTCATTTGCTCATTTCGTTGATCTGATCGTTTTTCTTCTGATATGATGAATTTAGATGAAAGATTATTAAGTGTGGATGATAATCTCAACATAGTTTACTTAAATCACTGTTTAATCCGAAGTGATTTTGCAACTGTGGATGATAATCTCAACAAAGTTCACTTAAATCACTGTTTAATCCGAAGTTACATTCAAGTTTATTAGGTTCTAGTAAACCTAACCCTTTCATGTGTACTCTAATCACTCTCTATCACTCGTGAGATTCGAAGTTCTTAAGAAGTTTGAATCCAGGACCTTCAGTTTTTACTTCAATCATCCGTTTTTGGGTGTAGAAGTTAGGATTCGAATTTGGATTCAGTTGATACCATGTTAATTTATCTCTATCCCAAAAGATTTAAGCTTATAAGTCATGTTGAATTTGATATTTTGATTATATATTATGAACACATGATATCATATCAACACAAGTCGAATTATTTTGCTACTTGTTTGCTGTTGGGTAGAGCACACATGATAGCAGGAAAGATGATGTAACAGCCCAAGTCCACTACTAGTAGATATTGTCCTTTTTGAGCTTTTCCTTTTGGGTTTCCTTCAAGGTTTTTTAAAATATGTTTGCTAAGGAGAGCTTTCCACACCCTTGTAAAGAATGCTTCGTTCTCCTCCCCAACCGATGTGGGATTTCCCATTTTGAAACGGCTGCAAAATCCAGAATTAGTATTTGTTTCGATATACTTTGTTCGTATGGTCTGTGTTTTCCTTTTTAGTTGTGAAGTTCAGACATGAAATCATATAAGAAGTTCTTGCAGCATGATTTGATGTTGAAGTATGCATTAAGGTCTCAAATTTATGTTATCGTCAAGGTCCCGAATATTTGGACAAAAACATGCAAAGATATAGCTGGTGTTAAGTAAGTTATAAACCATCATCGTTCGTTAGATACAAATAAGATAATCGAAGAGAGTCGGCTTCGAAAAATTCATGTTTACCTTGAAGGATGTTCATTTTTGTGGTAGAAAAGTAGGAAGCCGTTTAGTTGAGATGAGAAATGCTGAGTATTGTATATCTCATATGGTATCAGGACAAGCCGGCTTTCATTTTCTGCGTTGAAGACAGAGCACTTTTTTGTCAAGATTGTGATGAACCAATTCATTCAACTGGTAGTCTTTCAGCAAACCACCAGAGGTTTCTAGCCACTGGAATCAGAGTGGCCATGAGCTCAAGTTGCACGAAGGACGTCGACAAGGTCAAAATGGAACCTCCAAATCCGAAGAACCCTCAGGTTCCTGCTAAAATGCCTTCACAACAAGTTCCTAACTTCACATCCCCATGGGCGGTTGACGACTTTCTCCACTTCTCCGATCTCGAGTCCTCTGACAAGGTAAGTAAGCTAGATGCTACACCCTCTACACATCCACTTATTTGCCTTTTGTGATCATACTTCAACACTGTAATTCGTGCCAGTTTAGAAAGCATAAGTTTTTGAACGTTTACTTTCCTGCATCGACACATCTTTTCTTTCTCCTCCGAAAGATCACGCACACACTTATTTAAATTGAAGTGTCTGGACTAACTAGCACACGTTTTGACTATCCTCACAGGACAACCTACGACATTTGGTTGTTAAGGAAACCCGCGGGATATTGAATCATGAGTAGGAGTCTTTTATTATTTACACGACCCTTATTAACCACAGGGCCAAGCTATGGTTGTTCATTAAATCCATACCCTGCAATGTCGTATGGGAGTTATGATGCACGTCGGATTGGATTGTTTTCTTTTGAGATTTCTGGTGTTACTGTTGCTAACATAGAGGCAAACATGTGACAAAGAATTGCATTACTATTACTTGATTCATAACTTACGATCAAATCCATTGTGCAGCAGAAAGAAGATCTAGAGTTCGGAGAACTAGAATGGCTAGCAGAAATGGGGCTGTTTGGGGAGCACGTTCCTCAAGAAGCTTTAGCTGCTGCTGAAGTTCCTGAGCTTCCTACATCACACTCAGGTAGTGCATTCGCATACAGGCCGACGAAGTCGAGCATGTCGTACAAAAAGCCTAGGATCGAGGTGGTAGACGAGGATGAGTTTTTTACCGTTCCCGATCTCGGATGAACAGGAAGAGACAAGTTAGTATGGTTATGAATAATAATACAGTTTAGTTTATAGGCTTGAATAATGATTATATTATGCAGTAGTATTGTTCACATCTCTGGTTTGGTAGTATGCATTATAGGAGTTTTCTTTGATCTTTTGCCTACAATATTTGTTTTTTACTTTTGCTTTTCTACCTTATTGTAACTTTTGGATCTTATATGACAAATTTAAGATTATTTTAAAGAATGGTAACTCATCCTTGTCAAAAAAAAAAAAAAATTTAAGAGTTTATCTTTTGTTCGCCGTAGTATTATGATCAATCTTTCCTTTCGGATTTATCTATCTATCTATCTATGATCAAAACGATGAGCTGTTCAACCAATGTACGTATGTTATAATGAAGTATACCACTTGAAAGTATGCCCGCACGTGGTAATATAAAATGAACAAAAATAGCACGAAGGAATATAACCTTTTTAAGGTAAGCCACGTCCGCCCGTTTGCTTCATTATCTTGCATGTCTAATTGTTATCACTGTAATTTCATTTAATTACCTTCCTCTACTTACTCTTCGTAAATCTTTCCGATAGTACTTGTTGATGCACTAATTTATGCTTAAAATAGTGTGTTAAGTGACAGGTAATACTTGCTGATGCACTAATTTATGCTTAAACTAGCGTGTTGAGTGACGAAACGTTTTACGTGCACAATTATTCTAACCCACTCATTCCACATCAATTGACTCAGTTTCCTTTCATGATTTTAAATATGCTTATTACAACTTTTTAAATTTGTCCGAGATTTATTAGAATAACTTTTTTGTTAAATTAAAAGAATAAAATATTACTTTAATTTAGCAAATATATATATTAAAAAATTGAGTTCAAAATAAAAACATTATTTTATATGGAACATATTAATATTAAAACAATATATAATTTGAAGTTAGCCCATGAATGTAAAAAAATGAAAAAAATATATCAAATTACATAAAAAAATGAAAAAAAAAAAAACATCTGGTGATAAAATAAATAATTAATAATTGCTAACTTATCATTTTAAAAATTATTTTTTTTGTTCTTTTTCTTCTCCTTTTAAATAACAATAAAACTATTTGTTTTAATAAAGATAAGCATAAAGATAAAAATACATAAAGTTGGTTGTAATCGAATTTTTATTCTTTTTAAAAACATTGATAAATAAAACGTCTCGATTTAAGCATTTGTTGTTGAACACAACCCTCTGTGGGAAACACTCGCACAATTTATTAAGACCAACCGAGAAGAGATTTACAAACACTTGGCAGAAACTACTAGTTTCTATTGGTTGAGATTTCTTAGGACGATGAATTAAGTAAGGTGAAGTAATCTAGTCCTAAATTTATTTTTTTAACTCTATTGGACTAAAATGGTACTACTCTATTGGACTAGTGATTTTAACTCTATTGGACTAAAATCTTTCGGGTACTACTGATAAGATAAGGAAATCACTACAAGGGGAGTAAGATTCGGATTACCTTGTTGATCGAATATCTCAAGGCAAGAAGAACACTTGATTGAGATTCGAATCGCTCCACAAGCAAGATCGATCATGTCTAGCTTGAATGATTCTTGTTGATCAAATATCTCAAACACTTGTATGAGATTCGAATCACTCCATAAGCAAGATTGATCATGTCGAGCTTGAATGATTCTACATGCAACCTAAACTACATAAAATTGCAAATAAACTTAGCGATTGGCTAAAGAAGAGCACTGCTTCTTGTACTATTTTTCCAAGTCTTCTTACAAATACAACATACATGACTTTATATAGCCTTTAATTGTAACCTAAATTAACTAAAAAGTCTTAAATTACATTAATGAAACAAAATTTATAACTTCAAACTTCGTTCTTCTTCAACGTGGCATGAATTGAAATATCTTTTGATAATTTCAACAATATGCACAATTATTTCAACCCGTTCATTCCACCTCATTTTTATGCTTAAACTAGCTGTGTTAAGTGATGAAACGTTCTATATGCACAATCGATCCTTCCTCCAATCGATGTGGGACCACCCCCAAATCCACCCTATCTTTCCTCCAATCCATGTGGGATTTCCACACCCTTGTAAGTGGTGGTTTGTTCTCCTCCCCAACCAATGTGGGACATCACAATCCAGCCCCTTCGGGGCCCAGCGTTCTCGTGGCACTCTATCCTTCCTCCAATCGATGTAGAACCACCCCCAAATTCACCCCCCTTTGGAGCCCAGCGTCCTTACTGGCACACCGCCTCGTGTCTACCCCCTTCGGAGAACAACGAGAAGGCTGACACATCGTCTGGTGTCTGGCTCTAATACCATTTGTACCGCCCCAGATCCACCACTAGCCGATATTGTCCTCTTTGGGCTTTCTTTCAAGGCTTTAAAACATGTCTGTTAAGGGAAGGTTTCCACACCCTTCTAAATAGTGGTTTGTTCTCCTCCCCAGCCACTAGACGATGTAGGACATCACATCTTTTCTCATTCTTTGTTAATCTTTCTTTTAATATTCGTCAATACTAACGATTCACTCTCCTTTCACGATTTCAAATATGCTAATTACAACATTTTAGTTTTGTTTCATTTATAACGGGAAGATTTATTAGAATAATTTTTTTTTTAAAATTAAAAGAATAAAATATTGCTTTCGAAAAAACGTTTATGTAATAAACGTACGTGTGTAAAGTGGGAGGTGGGTTGTAATCAAATTTTTATTCTTTTTAAAAACATTGGTGAATAAAAGGTATATGAGAAAAAAATAGTGAGAATATTTGTGGGTTCTTGTTATTATAAATAGCGTAGTATGTAATGAGGTTTTATGAGAAATAGAATTGTAAAGAGAAAGAGGTAAAAATGGTGGGACTTCCCAAGTTTGGAGTACTCAAATCGAAGTGCAATGACAGCTACTTGCGCTATATCAATGAAATTGGTTCCCCGATACGTTCCTTTCTAAAATATTCAGGACAAGAGATTCTTAGTCCATTCACAAAGTTCGAGTTCGAGCAAGCTAAATCAGACCCATCTTTATTCCATATAAAATGTTGTTACAACAATAAGTACTGGGTTAGTTGGGCTTGTGACCACGGTTTTATTATAGCCGGAGCTGAGGACAAAGAGGAAGATAGATCCAAATGGACATGCACGTTATTCCGTCCCATTTATGATAGTAGTCAGCAATCCTATCGATTTCAGCATGTCCATCTTGGTCTCAACGTGGTGTTGTGGAGGGCTGGTTCTCATTTTAGAGATTGCTTACGTGCACACTTGTCAACTCCTGATAGACACCTTTGTGATCTCAGTATAGTTATCGATTGGGAATCAATGTGGTTATTACCAAAGTTCATTGTTTTTAAATCGGAAAATGGTTTTTATCTCTCGGGTCGCAGACGTCATAACCTTCCATATTTACAGTTTTTATCCCAAAGTCTTGAAGATCCTAGCATTATGATGGAGACTGTCTTCACAAATGATGGAAAATTTCGCATAAAGTCCATTTTCTTCCAAAGATTTTGGAAACGTGGTACTCTTGATTGGATTTTTGCTGACTTGGATGATTCTAATTCTCAAGATCCCGATGCTTTGTTTTCACCGATTAAACTTTCTCCCCTCGTTGTTGCTCTACGTAACTTGGGTGCTGACAAATTCATTAAAAGATACACTAATTTCGGCATAGAAAGCGGTCTCAATGCTGCTGTCTCAGAGATTGATAAATTTTCACACTTGCGAATAATTGAGCCTGTTTTTTCGAGAGAAATCAACAATGTGGTGTTTTATCTTTCTGAGGCAAAAATCTATAACGAAGTTGTTATCATGTTAGCAACTAGAGAAGCTAGAAACAATTTCAACGTACCCAACACTGCACGTATCACTTTCTCATATATAGACAATAGAACCAGCTCATGGGCTTCTTCAATCTCAACCAAATTGGATGTCAAGACTAGAATTAAGTCGAGAGTTCCCCTCGTTAGTGATGGAAGGAAGTTCGATATATCGTCAGCTAAATTTGATGAAGAATACAAATGGGGAGAAATTATAACAGTTTCAAAGCCAAAAGAGGTAATATACGAGACAATTATACCACCAAACAGCGCTAGTGTCATTACCTTAATAGTAACTAAGGGATCATATGAGATTCCATTCTCGTACAAACAAGCCGACGTCCTCATAGGTGGGAAAGAAGTTGAATATCATTTAGAGGATGGTATTTACCGTGGCACCAACTTCTACGACCTTAAATATGATGTTAGGACTAGAAACATTTGTGGAGGTCCGAACGAATAACAACAATAATAGAAGTCTAATAATAATAATAATAACAATAGGATAATAAAGACTCGAGCAAATTAACATCGTTTGATGTCTGTGTATGCTCGAGTTGTATGTCATGAAATAAACATATTGTAGTTTTATCTACAATATTTATGAATGAAGTTACGTGGATGTTTTAGTTATGATATTGCAATCGTTATATGTTAAGATAATGTAATAAAAAAATGAAGCTGAAAGCAAAGTCACGAGGAGTTTATGTTCAAAGTGGACAATATTATACAATTGTGGAGAGTTGTGGTTCCTAACATGGTACCAGAGTCACGCCCTTGATTTAGCTATGTCAATAGAATCCTCAAGTGTCGAACAAAGAAATTACTAGACTCGAAGGTGTAGTAAAAAGTGACTTATGTGTCAAACAAATGGTGTACTTTGTTCGAGGGCTCTAGAGAAGGAGTCGAGTCTCGATTAAGGAGAGACTGTTCGAGGGCTATATAGACCTTAGGGGAGACTCTATGGTACATACTTTGTTCGAGGGAAGGATTGTTGAGAATTGTTGGGAGGGTGTCGTCCCACATTGGCTAATTTAGGGAATGATCATGGGTTTATAAGATCAATTGGTACGAGGCATTTTGGGAAGCGCAAAGCAAATCAGTGAGAGCTTATGCTCAATGTGGATAATATCATAAAACTTAGTTTATATGGTCCCTTCTCGCATGTCTCCACGAGAACAATTTGGATGAAATCATTTATAACTATTATAAAGTGAGTCATATTAATATCCATCTTAGAATAAGACATGACAACCTTAAAGAGCGATAATATCGAGAAAAAAAATCCATATTTTACTTTAATAAAGAAAAACATAAACATAAGAATAAAAATTTATCAATTCATAATAAAGGGACGTTTTTATTCTTTATAGGAACATTGACGAATAAGAAGGATAAATGAGAATATTTTTACGGGTAAAAAAGATAGTAAGAATATTTATGGTTCGTGTTATAAATAATGTAGCACGTAACGATAACAAGTATAGCAAAACTCAACTTAGATTGTGAGAAGTAGAGAAGTAAGCATGGTGCAACTCCCGAGATTTGCAGCTCTCAAATCAAAGTACAACGACAACTACTTGCGTTATATCAATGAAACTTGTTCGCCGGTACGTTCGTTTCTACAGTACTCGGGAAAAGATATTCTTACTCCATTCACAAAGTTTGAGTTCGAGCAAGCTAGATGTGACCCATCTTTGTTCCATATAAAATGTTGTTACAATAATAAGTATTGGGTTAGCTGGGCTTGTGACCATCATTTTATTGTAGCGGGAGCTGACCATAAAGAGGAAGATAGATATAAATGGACATGCACGTTATTTCGTCCCGTATATGAAAGTTGTCATCAATCTTATAGATTTTGTCATGTTCGTCTTGGTTTCAACGTGGTCTTGTGGAGGGGTGGTCCTCCATTTGGAGAATGCTTACGTGCACAGTGGTCAGATCCCGATAGAGATCTTTGTGATCTCAGTATAGTTATTAATCGGGAATCAATATGGTCGTTACCAAAATATATTGCTTTTAAAAGTGATAATGGTTCCTATCTTAGTGCTCGTTTGATTAGCCAACTTCCATATCTACAATTCTCGTCCAAAAGTATCGACGATCCTAGTATTCAGATGGAGACATTCATCACAAACGATGGAAAAATTCGCATAAAATCAATTTTCTTCCAAAAATTTTGGAAACGCGGTACTTCTAATTGGATTTTTGCTGATTCTACTGATGATAGCTCGGAAAATCTCGATACTTTATTTTCGCCAACTCAGGTATCTTCCACCGTTGTTGCTCTACGTAACTTAGGTAATGGCAACTTTGTCAAACGATACAGTCTTGCTAGCAAAGCAAACTTTCTCAACGCTGGAGCCAAAGAAATTGATAGCTTTTCACACTTACAAATGGTCGAGCCTATTCTTTCAAGAGAAATCAGCAACGTAATGTTTTATCTCTCCGAAGCTAGAATCTATGATGAAGCTGTTATCGTGTTAGCAACTAAAGAAGTCACAAATAATTTCCACGTACCAAGCACGCTATGTATCCCGTTCTCATATACAAACACTAGATATAGCAAATGGGCTTCTTCAATCTCAATGAAATTAGATGTCAAGACAACAATTGACTCGGCAGTTCCCCTCATTGTTAACCGAAAGAAGATCGAGACATTATCAACTAAATTTTCGGGAGAATACAAATGGGGAGAAACCATAACAATATCAAATACAAAAGAGATAAAATATGAGGTAACTGTACCACCAACAAGCACGAGTATCGTTACCTTATATGCAACTAAGGGCTCGTGTGACGTTCCGTTCTCATACAAACAAGTTGACATCCTGATCGGTGGGAAAGAAGTTGAATCTTATTTAGCTGACGGTATTTACCATGGCACCAACTACTACAGTCTTAAACATGAAGTTAAAACTAAACAAATCTGTGGATGTCCTAACGAATAATTATACTATCATAATAATAAGGACGAAGTAAAAGTGACATCTTTAGATTTTCGTTTATGACTTATGTTGTAATATCTAAAAGAATAACATTATTACTGTTTTCATCTACCCGATCCTAATTACATTATTTAAGGATTATATGGCCAAAGATAAATTTTTTAAATTACAGGACTAAAATACTATATATATATATATATATTTTACTCAAATGCAAAATAAAAAATAAAATGTTACTTATCTTTTAAGTTAGATCATGAACATTAAAAAAAATTTATTTTGTTATTGTTCCACTTGTTATAAATAATAATAAAACAGGTCCGTTTTGGAATAAAATAAAATAAAAACTATCCGTCAATAGAAACTAAAATAAATTAGTGGTGTATATGGGTTGGGTTGAAAAATCTTTTAGACCTGTTCGGAATTTTGAGTTTGTTGGATTGGTAACTCGAGTAACTTGAATAAATTTCACAGTCCAATCCAACTCAACTTGAGTTGGGTCGAGTTGTCGAATTATTTTTTTTTCTTTTTAATTCTTTAAAAAAAATCATATTGATCTATAATACATGTTACATTAAAAACTAAAATATCATAAAATTCAAATATCAAATATTTACAAGTCACAACACATCATTAACGTCGGTTATAAATGTTCTCATCAATCTTTTTCAAAGCAGAGTAGGGTTTGGTTGTTATCTTATTTTCGAGTTGGTTGGGTTGACTGAATAAAAAAATGTCAATCTGCAAACAATTTTTTGATTTTTCAAAAAGTTCAATCCAACCTAAATTGAAAAAAAATATAATCCAACTCGACTCAATTTTTATGATTTGAGTTGGATAGTTTGATTGATAAACACGGTGAAATAAATAACATATTTGCTGATAGAAATAATTTTAGTTTTAAAAATTAAAAAAAATAAAAGACGAAAAATGAGAAAGGCTTGTAGACACGGGAGATGAATGCTAATTATTCGAACATAAAAGTCTACTTATGCAATTTATTCTATTAGATTTTGGAGTTAATAAAGTAGCTTTTAGTATAAGTCAACGCTAAAATTAAATAAATAAAAAACTTTAGGATAATTTTATAATAAAATAATATTGATAATATTCTTGGATTGGACACAATATTCTAGAAGCATCCTTTAGTTTGGTTTTAAATCGATTAATTTTTCCGATTTTATGGATAAAAAGGAAAATCTAATACACGTTCAAATATTAATTTTCTTAATTAACAAATTTATTAAAAATGATTAAATATTTTGTGGTTCAAATTTTATACAAATTTACTGTATACATATATATATTTACTGTATATATATATATATATATGTATATACATATATACGTACGTATATACATATATTTATACGTGTATATATATTTATATATATACACGATACCCCATTTGTAAGTCTCCACGTGAATGAATAAATAATGATAATAAAGATAAAAGATAAAAATATGCGTAAAGGGGACGTGGTTCGATTCTTTTTAAGAACGTTCGTGAATAAAAGGATGAATGAGAATAATTGTACTTACTTACCAGTATTCAAGTATATGCTTCTTGTGCTATAATAAGCATAGCATATTACAAGAACAGGCATTGCAAAACTCAGCTTAATATCCGAGAGATAGTAATGTAGAGAGAAAGAGGCAACAATGGTGCAACTTCCGAAGTCTGTCGTGCTCAAATCAAAGTACAACCACAACTATTTGCGCTTCGTGAATGAAGCGTGTTCACCGGTGCGTACATTCATGCAGTACTCAGGAAAGGAGATTCTTAGTCCATTTACACCGTTTGAGTTCGAGCAAGCTAAATGTGACCCATCTTTATACCATATAAAATGTTGTTACAACAACAAGTATTGGGTTAGTTTGGCTCGTGACCATCATTTTATTGTAGCGGGGGCTGACCGGAAAGACGAAGACAAATCCAAATGGACATGCACTCTATTTCGTCCGGTTTATGACAATTGTCATCAATCGTTTCGGTTTTGTCATGTCCATCTTGGTTTAAATGTAGTCTTGTGGAGGGTTGGTCCTCCTTATGGAGAATGCTTACGTGCACAATGGTCGGTTCCTGATAAAGATCTCTGCGATCTCAGTGTAGTTATTGACTGGGGATCACTGTGGTCATTACCTAAATTTATTGCCTTTAGAGGTGATAATGGTTCTTATCTCACTGCTCGGTCAATTGACAATTATTCATATCTACAATTTTCATCCAACAATATTGACGATCCTACCATTCAGATGGAGACCTTCATTACAAATGATGGAAAAATTCGCGTGAAGTCAGCTCACTTCCAAAAATATCGATGAATTTTCACACTTACAAATGGTTGAGCTCGTTCTTTCACGACAAATCAACAATATCGTGTTTTATCTTTCTGATGCTAGAATCTGTGATCAAGTTGCTATCGTATTAGCAATGGCAGAAGCCGCAAATAATTCGAACGTACCCAACACAGTCTGCTTGACTTTCTCACATACAAACACCACTAGCACATGGGATTCTTCAGTTTCTACGAAATTGGACGTCAAGACAATAATCGAAACAGGAGTTCCCCTCATTGTCGATGGAAAGACAATTGAAACATCGTCGACTAAGTTCGTTGGAGAATACAAATGGGGAGAAACTATAACAACATCAAAGATACAAGAGATCAAATATGAGGTAACTATGCCACCGATGAGCAGTATTATCGTTACCTTAAATGCAACTAAGGGCTCATGCGACGTTCCATTCTCATACAAACAAGTCGACATCCTCAAAGGTGGTAAAAAAGTTGAATATTGTTTGGACGATGGCGTTTACCATGGCACCAACTACTATAACCTTAAATACGAAACTAAAACGAAACCAATTTGTGGATGCCCAAACTAATAACAACGGTCAGACCCGAATAAAAATAACTATCTTTCAAATGTGTGCGCGTTTTCGGTTGTATTATGTAAAAGAATAAAATTATTGTAGTTTTGTCTACAATATTTATAAAGTTACGTGTATCATTATCTTCAATATTATCCGACCTTGTTTTTAGTTATTATATTGCAACAATAATAATAATTATAATAATAATAAAAAAGGGTATCACGAGGTGTGTCGGCTGTGGCCGCATGTCGGATGTTTCGATCATGTTTGTCTAGGGCATGTTGTCCATAGCTGCATGCCCGACCCAAACCCCTTTTTATTGCTTTCATGTGTAGTTAGGTCTTTACTATCGATGTCATGTCAATACGGGAGGTGTATAACCATTTACCAGAATCTTTTGTCAATTTTTTCTACTCGAGTTATATGCTATCAAAGTTGTAATCGTTGCTGATTCGCTTTTAGCCTGTAATATTGATTTATTTCAAATCATTTTCAACGCGTTCTCGTTCACGATTTATAAAACATTTTCGGTCAAACGTGACTCGAGATTCGATCATATTGATTTGTTCACAAACTCAAAACTCACGACTTTTCGAAAAGGGTTCGATGAGGTATCTTTAGCAAGACGACATGTGGAATCTAACCAATTTTTTATTCTTCCTAAGAATATTCATAAATAAAAGAAAATGAGAATATCTTCACTTTTTGGTAGAAAGGGATAATGATACGCTTCAGGTAAGAAAATAAGTTGTCTCATGACGGCCGTGTAAAATATTGATGAGCTTTCTCGTTGGACAAATGATTGAGCTTGTTCTTTCACCAGAATTCAACAATGTCGTATTTCGTCTCTCTGATACGGGAATTCGCGATCAAGTTATTATCATACCAGCGAATACACAAACGGAAAATAATTGAACGAGAAATACTTGTTCGACTTTCTCATATATAAACACCAAATCGAGCACATGAGCTTCTTCATTCTCAATGAATCCAATATGAAACCGGTTCAATTGGACTTGTCAACTTCATCATTTTTATTGGTTCTACGCAACTGCACCTTTTTTTTTGTTGCCTTTATTCCGTGATTTTAACACAGCAAGAATCATAAAAAACGATCAGCTGTCATGATAATATTATAAATAAAATATAAATTACGAGACTTTAAGATATAAAGTCTAAATACTTCAAATTTGGACATTATAACTAAAGCAGATGCCCGTCTTTGCCCGTCTTTTTCACTTTTAATATAATAAAGATAAGGATAAGATAAAAATATGTGTAAAGTGAGATGCGGAATCTGATCAATACATAACAAAACGACATTTTTTTTTTTTTTTTTTTTTAGAAAAGATAACGAGAATATTTACGTGCAATTAGTAAAATCTATGCTTCTCGAGCTATAAATAGCATAGCATGTAACAAGAACAAGTATAGCTACTCAACTTAGTGTTTACAAAGGGACAAGGATGGTGCAATTTCCGAGGTATGTAGTCCTCAAATCGAAGTATAATCACAAATACTTACGCTATTTGGATGAAACTTGTTCACGGGTGCATAAATTTCTACGGTACTCGGGAGAAGAGATTCTTACCCCATACACAAAGTTTGAGTTCGAACAAGCTAAATGTGACCCGTCTTTATTCCACATAAGGTGTTGTTACAATAACAAGTACTGGACTAGTTGGGCTTGTGACAAGCATTTTATTGTAGCGGGAGCTGACAAGAAAGAAGAAGACAAATCGAAATGGTCATGCACACTATTTCGTCCCGTTTATGACAGTTCTCATCAATCATTTCGATTTTGTCACGTTGGTCTTGGTTTCAACGTAGTCATATGGAGAGTTGGTCCTCCTTATGGAGGATGCTTACGTGCACAATGGTCCGTTCCTGATAGAGATCTCTGCGATCTCAGTATAGTTATTGATTGGGAATCAATATGGTCGTTACCAAAATATATTGCTTTTAAAAGTGATAATGATTCCTATCTTAGTGCTCGTTTGATTAGCCAACTTCCGTATCTACAATTCTCGTCCAAAAGCATCGACGATCCTAGCATTCAGATGGAGACATTCATCACAAACGATGGAAAAATTCGCATAAAATCAATTTTCTTCCAAAAATTTTGGAAATGCGGTACTTCTAATTGGATTTTTGCTGATTCTACTGATGATAGCTCGGAAAATCTCGATACTTTATTTTCGCCGACTCAGGTGTCTTCCACCGTTGTTGCTTTACGTAACTTAGGTAATGGCAACTTTGTCAAACGATACAGTCTTGCTAGCAAAGCAAACTTTCTCAACGCTGGAGCCAAAGAAATTGATAGCTTTTCACACTTACAAATGGTCGAGCCTATTCTTTCAAGAGAAATCAGCAACGTAATGTTTTATCTCTCCGAGGCTAGAATCTATGATGAAGCTGTTATCTTGTTAGCAACTAAAGAAGTCACAAATAATTTCCACATACCAAGCACTCTATGCATCCCGTTCTCATATACAAACACCAGATATAGCAAATGGGCTTCTTCAATCTCAATGAAATTGGATGTCAAGACAACAATTGACTCGAGAGTTCCCCTCATTGTTAACAGAAAGAAGATCGAGACATTATCAACTAAGTTTTCAGGAGAATACAAATGGGGAGAAACCATAACAATATCAAAGACAAAAGAGATAAAATATGAGGTAACTGTACCACCAACGAGCACGAGTATCATTACCTTATATGCAACTAAGGGCTTGTGTGACATTCCGTTCTCATACAAACAAGTTGACATCCTCATCGGCGGGAAAGAAGTTGAATCTTATTTAGCTGACGGTATTTACCATGGCACCAACTACTACAATCTTAAATATGAAGTTAAAACTAAACAAATATGTGAATGTTCTAACGAAGACTGATACTATCATGATAATATAGACTCGAGGTAAAAGTGACGTCTTTAGATGTTCGTGTATGACTTACGTTGTAATATCTAAAAGAATAAAATTATTACCGTTTTCATCTACACGATCCTAATTACATAATTTAAGGATTATATGGACAAAGATGGATTTTTTAAGAGAAGGATTAGACACAAAATTAAACGCTTAATTATTTTAACAAGTACTGGACTAGTTGGGCGTGTGACAAACATTTTATTGTAGCGGGAGTTGACAAGAAAGAAGAAGACAAATCCAAATGGTCGTGCACACTATTTCGTCCCGTTTATGACAGTTCTCATCAATCATTTTGATTTTGTCACGTTGGTCTTGATTTTAACGTAGTCGTATGGAGAGTTGGTTCTCCTTATGGAGGATGTTTATGTGCACAATGGTCGGTTTCTAATAGAGATCTCTGCGATCTCAGTATAGTTATTAACTGGAAACTACTGTGGTCATTACCTAAATTTATTGCTTTTAAAGGTGATAATAGTTCTTATCTTAGTGCTCGTTCAATTGACAATAGTCCATATCTACAATTTTCATCCAATAAATTGACGATCCTGCCATTCAGATGAAGACTTTCATCTCAAATGATGAAAAAATTTGCATCAAGTCAGTTTACTTCCAAAATTTTTAGAGACGTGACGCTTCTAATTGAATTTTTGTTGAATAATGTGAGACCACTACTCAAAATCTCGATACTTTATTTTTGCCCACTAAAGTTTCACCCGATGTTGTTGCTCTTTGTAACTTGGGTAATGACAAGATATACTATAGGCGTGAAAAATATTGATGAATTTTCACGCTTACATATGGTTGAGCTTGTTCTTTCATGACAAATCAACAATGTCGTATTTTGTCTTTTTGATGCTAGGATCCATGATCAAGTTGTTATCGTATTAGCAACTACAGAAGTTGCAAATAATTCGAACGTACCCAATACTGAATGTGTGACTTTCTCATACACAAACAATGGATCGAGCACATGGGCTTCTTCAGTCTCAACAAAATTGGACGTCAAGACAACGATCGAAGCAAATATTCCGCTCATTGTTGATGGAAAGATGATTGAAACATCGTCAGCTAAGTTTGTAAGACTCAAGAGATGGTATATGAGGTTACTATACCACCATTGAGCACTATCAACGTTACTTTATGTGTAACCAAGGGCTCGTGTGACGTTCCGTTCTCATACCAACAAGTTGACGTCCTCAGAGGTGGGAAAAAAGTTGAATATTCTTTAAACGGTATTTACTATGGCACCAACTACTATAAAACTAAAACTAAGTCAATATGTTGACATGTTTTATTAAAAAAATAAAATAAATAAGAATAAGATGAAATCACTTAAAGAATAAAATTATCTTTAAAATTATTGTAGTTTTTGGCTGCAATATGTGTATCTTATTTTATGTATCGGTTTGATCCTTTATCCCCCACTGTATTTGTTTGCTTATAGAGTCCGAGTCTCCTAAATATGTATGATTGTTGTGAGCTAGGAAGCGTTAAGTTGGGCGTAGTCCCACTATTCGGACTATTCGGAGGTTCAAATCCTCAATCGCTCTTTTTAGTGGGGAGGAATAGTTTGAGAATCAGTCTATTTCCGACATTATATCCATAGTTAGTGGCGCTCGAATGTCAGACTCCCGCTCTCGACAGATGTCCAGTTCTAGTTTGGGAGCCTAAAAAATATGCAGTCATAATAATTTAAAAAATTTAATATAACAAAACTAAATTATTAGCTTAAATGAATAAAATGTCACATTATTATAAATTAATGTAAAGTCAACATTGTTATAATAATAATAAAGAAATTATATCAAATTTAATGTAATGAAAAAAGACACCAAAATGAGAAGGTTAAAATAGTAATTTAACATGTACTCAAGAGGTCAAAATATTCAAGTTTTATTTACCATTTTTTTTAAAAAAAAGTTTTATTTAGTAAATACTTTAAGCACAAAAGTCTGATGGGAGAAAATTAAAAGGGCATTTTTGTTAATTCAACTGCGAAAAGGGAATTAGAGCAAAAAATCTAAACAACAACAAAGGGAAAAAGAAGCAGCCTAGGTAGAAGCCTTGATCAAGGCTTCCACGTCAGCCTCTGATGGGAGAGCTGGGATTGCTCCCTTCTTGGTTGTTGTAATGGCTCCACATGCATTTGCAAATCTCAAGATCTCCCTCACCCTCTTCTCATCCTGCAATAAATTAAAGGATACAAGCTAATTACCTCGATAACAGATTACTCGGTCGATAATCATGTAAATAAAAGTTCCATTATTCAACGAACTCGAATGAAAGACAAACGTGCCTCGACAACAGATTAGTCTGTCGACAATCATGTAAATAAATGTTTTCATTATTCTATGACCTTATTAGATAAGGAAGTCGTACGAAAGATATAAGTACCTCGAGGACGGATTGGTCGTCGACAATCTTGCAAAGGAGAGCGCCAACAAACGAGTCGCCAGCTCCAGTTGTGTCCACAGTTTTGACCTTGAATGGATCCACGGAGCCGCGGAAGTTCTGTGTTTTTTTAACCAAAAAAAAAGGAGAGTTAAAAAATGCACTTTTTACTGTTTCAAAAGTAATACTAAGGTCCTATTAACAATTTTACCGAGAAAAAGATGATGATAATAATAATAATCCTAATAAATAAAATAAATAAATAAATAATCTTCTGTCCATCGTGAACAATGTGGGGACAAAGGAAGCACCATCGCTTTTGTTTACGAAACAAGGTAAGAGAGATTGAACGAACAAGCCTTTTCAGGAAGCAATTATTAACACATTGGCCCTACAAATCAAAACCCACACCTAAAACTATACTATCACCCACAGGCATTAAAAAGGTGCGTTGTTACTCAGCCTAACTTCCTAGCTGGAAAATTTTGAGAAGTTTTCTTGGAGATCTGAAATTTTCTCGGGAGAGTGGAAGGATGGTGAGATCCCACATCAGTTGAGGAGTGGAACGAAACATTGTTTATAAGGGTGTGGAAACCTCTCCTACAGACACAAAACCTTAAGGAGAAATCTGAAAGGAAAAATAAAGGACAATATATGGTGGACTTGAGTCATTACAAGATTTTAATTTATGTTATGGATAAACACGGGGATGAATGTACAGCTATGCAATTCCCAGATCCAACCACTAATAATAGCCAACAACCAGCCTTTGACAGTAAGAAAGCTATGAAAAAGTACCAACAACCAAAATAATTACTTGTTTTTGTTTTTGAAGTAAGGATTACGACAAGTGTTGTCTAAATTATTATAGTGCTTTGAACTTCACATGGCTCAAATTTGTCTATCTTGTTCAAAAAATTGTAACAGTTTTAAGTCAAATTCTTATTTTTTGCCTGTTCTTAAGCATTAAAATACGTCTTCTAATGAACAACAAATGTCAGAAAGAAGTCAAATATTCTGATTCAAACATGGGGGCGGTTAGGCAAACAAGCAATCAAATTTGAACAGAATTATCACCAACCCATTCCAAGTTCTCACCAACCAAACATATATCTAAATTATAAGTCCTAACATTTTCAAACGTCCAAATTTAGCCCACCTTTAAAAAAATTCCTACCATTAATTGGAAGATTCAAGCATGGTATCCTCCTAAATGAACATAAACGATCGTGACTAAACTTAAACATTTGAAAGCACAAACACTAATAGAATTATGAGAGTACCTTGGTGTAGTATTTGCAGCCATGCTCACCGAGAGTGAGCAAGAGGAGCTTCAAGCCATCATGCCAGAGAGACATGGCGGTTTCATCATCGACCTTTTCGGATTTGGTGAGGAATTTGAGCTCATCATCGCTAACCTTGATGATGTCGGCCTTGTCCCAAATGCTTTTGATCTGTTCACGGGCCTCATCTGCTGAAGGCCACAGAGGCAGCCTCAGATTTGGATCGTATGAAAGCAGAGCACCTGCTTTCTTGGCCTCCTCCATTGCCTTTATATGGGCAGATCTGCAGGGCTCCACGATCAAGCTTATGGACCCATAGTGAAAGATTTTAGCCTACAAACACAAAACACATGATAACATATTCAGAATTTCGCAATTATTTGTTAGATATGATCGAAATAGACCAATTAAAATTAACTTATGGGTCAAATATTTAATAATTTTGTGATTTTTTCAAGAAAAATATTGGCGAAAACTTTTAGTACATCTGCACGAGACGTGTAGATCACGAAAGACATTAAATAAATATAAGCATCAGTTTTGTTTGAAAAGCTATATCCTGACTTTTTAAAAAACTATTTAAGGAGAAAATCATAGTAACTTACTAACTTTGTTTATTTTTAAATAAAAACTTTCTATAATTAAACAAAATAACTGAGATACTTTATAAAATTAAAGTCTAAATAATTCAATTTTCTCCAAAATTTCTATTTTTAAATATTTTAAATAAGAGATTAACAAAAAAAAAAACTTCTGAGGATAGCGTTTCAGAAAGATCAAATATCTAAAAAGATCCCAATTGATTCAATATTCCATTTTTGGAATAATTATTTAATAATCAAAATAAATAAATAAATAAATAACTAAATAAATAACTAAAAATATCTGACAGAAAGGAAAGAACTTCGCGAGTGATGGGCAGCACCGCTATCTACACGTGAGAATAAAGTATAGGTAAGCACGTGAAGCTTCGCCACGTCATCAATTAAAGGGGTATAATCGGAAATTCACACATGAAAAAGCGAAATACCGAATCTACCCATATTATCACTACTATTACTGCTACTCTAAGTCTATGAGTGGGGCCCAGAATATTATATCTGACGTGTCAATTTATATAAATAAAATAAAATATAAAATAAAACTGGCGCACGAGTCTATAAGATTAAAATACTCGATCTCGGTCAAATTCGCAACAAGAAAAACTTTCCGGGAAAATCAATTGACGAGAAAATCAATACCAAAACCGAATCGAAAAGGAAAATGAAAGAGAAGGAAGAAACTCACGGATTTGATGAGTTTGATATTCAATTCGTCCGCCTTGAGAAGCATATCGGCGCTAGGGTTTCGGTAGAACATAAACTCACGCTCACCGTCGGAACGCAGAGTGACGAAGGCTAAGGCGGTTCTAGCGCCTTTATCGAAGCAGATTCCTTCGTCGTTAACGCCGTGCTCCCTCAAGATATTGGCCAACATATGGCCAAACTCATCTTCGCCGAGCTTTCCAACGAAGGCAGAGCGACCGCCAAGGCGACTGACAGCGATCGCAACATTCGCCGGAGCACCGCCGGGAGCCTTGAGAAATCCAGGCGCATCCGCTAGAGATACGCCGGAAACCGTCGGGACGAAATCGATCAACATCTCACCGAAACTAACGATCAGACCGGAGCCGGTGGGAGAAGCGCCGTTATTTGGAGCCATCGGAGAAGGAAAAACAAGTACAGAAACAAATAGTGATCGGAGAAGTTTAGAGAGAGAAAGAGGGGAAATTGGGACGGTGCATTTGATTAATTGAGCCAATAGAAAATGGTATTTATAGGGGGGAAGATTTGGGGAATATAAAATTAATTAATTTTCTTATTTAATTATTCGCGTGTTTTTTTTTTCTCACTAATTTACTCAATATATTTTAATTTTTAAAATTTGCTTTAGCTTGGCAGTGTGGCCCACCAATAATTTTTTTAATTTTCCATTTATTATTATTATTATTTAATTGAAAAAAAGAAATAGTTGTAAGAATATAAAATGAAATTGGTATATTAATTATGAAATTATTTAATTACAAATTGATCTATTTTTTCCAA